CCCGGGCGCCAGGTAGCCGCCGCCGTAGCCCGCCGTGTACTCGGGCGCCGCCGACGGGCCTCCGCACGCGTTGCCGGCGTACAGCGGCTCAGGCAGGTTCCCGGCTAAAACCGGGGAGCCCCCGAGGCCCGCGGCTCCGCCCCCGCCGCCCGACTTGGCTCCCGGGAGGCCCTCGTGGAGCGAGGCCAAGGGGTAGGGCGGCTCCGGCCCCGGCCAGGGCTCCGTGTCCCCCTTGGCGCCGTTGAGGAAGGAGGCGTCGCCGTAGCCGCCCAGGCCTGGGCGCTCGTAGGGCGAGTCCAGGACCCCAGAATACTTCTCTGCGTAGCGCTTGAGGAGGTTGGAGGCCGTGAGGGCGGAGATGTCGTCGTGTGCCCAAGCATAGTGGCAGCGCTGGCGACTCCCAGGGGGCAGCTCCAACTTGTGGGCTGGTGACGGGGTGGTGGAGGAGACGTCCAGGTGCTGCTCTGGCCACTGGTTGAGGGGCTGGGCGTGTTCCGGTGTCCAGTGCATCTTCGACAGAGCTGCAGACGGGGAGAGGAGCGCCCGGTGAGGTCCTGGAGGGCCTCGGAGGACCCACCAGCTGCTGCCAGTACCCACGGCCCCCCTCCCGTTCTCCTGGGCATGCTCCCTCCAGCCACCAAATGCCCGTTCTGACCAACACTGACGTTATCTGAAAATATTTTCCTCAGAACCCAGAGGAAACCAGAAGCAATGGGGCTGGCCTTGCAGCTTGCAGGCAGTGGTTATTTTGTCCTGGCCATTCCAGCCGTGACCTCTGTAGGACACATGGCCTCATTTTCACACCTAATGGGCCAGGCAGTAGCAAGCGTCAAACCCAGGCAGGCTCGTCTGGCACCAGGTGTTCACGGCTCACCCACTGTGGGCTGCTGCAGAGGCTGGATGAGTCCTGCCCAGGGTTCCTAGCCTAGGTAGTGGCCCACCTGTTCGAAATTCCTGAATGCTCTGTTCCCCTCAGCCTTCCCTGAGATTCCAAGGCCTCCTCTGGGCCTCAGGTCGGAGGTGCCCTCCCCTAAAGGCAGCCCCAAGGGCCTTTACTTCCTTTCCACTCAGTTTCTTTCGGCTGCTATCTGATGACATCAGAGCACCAAAGTTCCAGACCTCATTGTATGTACACGCAGTAGGTAGGCCCTGGGCAGGTGCTGCCACCGCTTCATTCCCACGGTGTGTCACTACACCCCAAGTGTATTTAAACTAGAAGCTGGGGCTGGGGATTTAGCTCAGCGGTCGTGAGTTCGATTCCTAGTATCAGGAAAAAACAAAAAAACTAGAAGCTGGATCGAACGTGTGCTGAAGAAGAGAAGTGGGTACACAGCAGCGCACATCCTAGAAAGTGGATCGTGAATTTGTCTCTGTACTTCTCAGTCACCAAGAATATAAGATGTGATCAAATCACCTTGCAAAATAAAACACCTTTTTCAAAAGAAGTAAAAGCGTTCCCGACATAGAGACCCTAGAACTTTTACTCTGAACCTTGGGAAACAGTTCTGCGAGATGAAATCTGCAATGACCTTTTGGACACGTGTGCCATAGACACATTCTGAGGCTGTTTCCTATGCTGTCCTCCAGTACCAGTCAAAGCAGAAGCCAAACACGGTAAAGAATAGTGCTGTCCAGGCACGCAGCTCCAAAGAGCCAGGCTGCTCCTAGGATAAGATTTTGAGTACTGAATGGGGCCATGTTTCTCAGAACTAAGCTTTTGGTAAGTCAGAAACAGAATCACATACTCTCATTCTTTTTTCAAAAACATTATTTTTTGGCAGTGCTGGAAGTTCTACCCAGGACCTCAAATATGCTAAGCAGGCACGGAGCCACACCAATCCTTCTTCAGCGGATTTTAGTTGTAAATCTAAGTGTTTTAGTAGGCATGGGGTTAGACTGAAAGGCAACTAGAGTGCAGGAGACAGGCAGTGTCCCCTGCAAAGTGAGAAATGGGAGTATGAATGTGGCGCTCAAGGCAGTTGGTCACACCTTGCTGAAAAGGTGGGGTTTTTACTGGATCTTGAAGGGGTTGAGGGAGGAAGAACAGGCAGGCTGGCAGGAGCAGTGCATCCCAGATCACACTTTCACAAAGCCAGGGCTAGTGAGGGGCAATGGTCAGAGCCTGTAGTCCCAGCACCCACAAGGCTGAGGCAGGAGGATCCTTTGAGACCAGCCTGGGCAACACAGACCCTGACTTTAAGGAAAGGCCAGGGCTGTGCTAGCCTCCTCGGGGCACTCTACTGCCGCTCTGGAATAGTGTCACAATCTACAAACACTCAGTATAGATCGTGCCCCCTTAGAAGCCGTGCTCTTGGGCAGCACACAACCTACAGAACCACGTACAGGAAGTCTTTGGAGAGCACCAAGAAATGCTGGGTCTCCAGAAGCTTGAATACAGGAATATGTGGGAAGTGTAACAAAGAGCCTGAAAACAGTCAAGTCTCCTCGGGTTTTGTACATTTAGGCTTACAGCAGCTGCTAGACAGCACCTCTGTCACCTCACTATTTCCTGTGACATGACATCAATGGCATAAGACAGTCTTTAAAAATAATATGATTTACTACCATCCCCACTGCCCTAGAGGAGACATGAGCCACTAACAAATTCTAGAGGCTGTTTTATTCCCATGTGGGAGGTGGGTGGCACCCGCCACAAGAAGGCAGCAGAGAAGAACAGAGACTGACAGGGCTGGAGGCAGGAGGTGACGTGCAGCTTTCCAGCTCTGGCTGAGAGGGGTCTTCAAAGATAGAGGCATCAGTAGTGTCAAAGGGGGATTTTCCCAGACCATCAGAAATCACAAGTGGTTCTGGTTACGGGGTTGTATGAGGTAACATCAAAGCTATACAAATGTGAGCCGGGTATGGTGGTGCACACCTGTAATCCCAGCACTCAGGAAGCTGAGGCAGGAAGATTCCTGTGAGTTCAAGGCCAGCCTGAACTGCATAGTAAAACCCTGTCTCAAAAAGACAAAAAAAAAAAAAAAAAAAGTTATACACATGTAAATACTGTGTTCCTGCATCAAACCCAAACCTGTTTTTTCTTTTGTTTTTGTGATGGTTTTGTTTTCATTTGCTATTATCCCTGTTTGGTTCCTTAGTTATAAATATGGATGCAAGAGATTTGCCCTTGATGATGGGATTTATGTTGAACATACTCAGCTGGGCAAGCCAGTGAAAAGAATGACCCTGTTATGATCTAAAACATCCCCCAAAATGTTCATGTGTGTGGAAGGTGACTGGATCAGGGGTGCTTTATACTCATGGGTGGATCCATCCACAGCTGAGTGCGCTGTCAGGAGGTGGAGCCTGCTTGGCAGTGGTCACTGGGGGTGTGGCCCGGAAGGGTGTTTTGTCTCTGGCTCCTCCCTCTGTCCCTGCTTCCTGGCTACCATGGGTTGAGCGCCTTTTCCTATGTCATCCCTTTCTACCATGCTGTTCATGCCTTGGGGCCAGCAGACCGGGACTAAAACTGAGCCAAAATAAAGCTCTCTTCCATAAGCTGCAGGGTATTTGGGTGTTTGGTATTTTGTTCCCAGAACTGTAAAGTGACTAAGGCAGACCCTCTGCCAGAAGACAGCACAGCGAAGAGGAGCTGGGTGTCAACTTGGCCATACGTTTCCTCCTGCTTCCAGACCCTCTGATCCTCCTTGCACTGTCACATGATGTCCTCCAGCCCCTTATTCCCCAAAGACGTGAGCCAGGCTCCCTCTCACCAGCACCTGCTCTGGCCTCCAGCGATCTCCGTCCAAATCTGCACCCACTCACTGAACACTGTGGCCCTGGTCATCACTGGCAACTCCTCCCAGTCAGAAACTATGCACCCCAGGTACCCAGTTCCGTCCTCCACATCTGTCACGATGCACCTCCTGCCCAGAGGGACCCTGTCCCTGACCCCTCATCTATACCACTTGGTCACTACCCTCAGTCTCTTCTGAGACTTCACTGTAGGTCATTTCCTTCACATTTAAGCTAGGGAAAAAAAAGCCACTGGCCCTTTGTTTTCACCTTTACCTGTGCCTGGATACACCAAAAGGCCTGATGGTCCGCCCACCTTATTCCTTGACCCTGTCCTGGCCCAATTGACACCCTGGCCCATGGGCTGAGAAGACAATTCTCTACTTGGGTTCGGTGGCCTTCCCTGGTGGTAAAATACCTTTCAGCAACTTCCCGGTTTCGGGGAGCACTGCCTAGCTCTAACCACAGAGCATAGCCTTCAGACTTACAGATAACCCACAAACACAGCCAGCCCGGGCAACATGGTGAGACCCCCCCCATCTCATAAATAAATAGTTCAGAAAAATTTACATGTAGAAAAATAAAATAATTCCTAAAGCCCCTCTTATTTTTAGCAAGACTTCTAGGAGTGCTGAGCGAGGTGAATCAGCCTTCACATCTGGCCCAAACCCTCATGTACCCACTTCCCCAACGCTCTTGCTGCCCATGTGTCCTGTGGGTGCTCCTGCCACCGCTGTGGGCCCTGGGCTCCGTGCATCAGGTCTGACCTAGGGCATAAATATTCCACCCCAACCCCAGTATCCTTGGAGGGCAGACCCCGCCCATGGGCATGTTATTTTGTGACACATAACCTCTCTAAGCAATACTTTCTTCCATCAGCTGAGAGTTTTTAGATGAGTAGGCCTCAAACTTCCCTTTTTTAAAGGCAAGATCTTGCTCTGTTGCCCAGGCTGGCCTCAAATTCCTATCCTTCCGCCTCAGATTCCTGAGTCAGGACTACAGGTGCACACCACTGCACCTGGCTTCAATCTCTTCTTTCACTGCAGCCCTAAAAACATTTCTCAAAAATTATAAATCTTATGCAAGATGGGATTGGAAGGGGCCCCAGCCACAAAATGTCAACACCTCCCTCCTCCTCTCCAAGACCCCTTCAGGATCTTACAAGGTTTCTGTGATTCTGCTTCTGGATCTCATTACCTATGGGGGAGGAGGGGGCCTGGGCCACACAGGCCATGGGGGCAGGGCAGAGGAGGGGCAGCTGGACGGTGGCTCGGTGGAGACGGTGATGCTGCCCTTCTCGGCAAGGCCCCATTATCTCAGCCTGGGACAAAGGGGCTGGAGTGGAGAATCCCATTGTGGAGTCTCCGTATGGAGATCTCATTAATCTATTCACAGGAGCTCCCACAGGCCTTTTGTCCCAGGCTGTTTTTGTCTCCTACTTATAGCTAGTGCCCTTGGGGAGGGGGCCTCTGGGCCCTGTCCCTCATGCCATCCCACAGCTAGGAGAGAAGAGGGAGGGTGACAACAGGACCCTGGAGGACTGATCACCTGCCACAGCCCCTGCAGCCATCACATAGGAACACCGCACACACCTCCTAGGCACAGCCGGGTCGGCAGAACATTGCTTGGCAGATGCTTTGGGACCCGCATGGGGCTTAGTGACACCTAACCTCTCTAAGGGTAGGGTAGGATTAATGCCTGTCTAGGGATGGGCAAAGGATGCCAGAGAGGTGGCTGCAAAACGGCTGCCGGCAGGATGCAGCCCATGCTTTGCAGGTGCACTGTC